TTTGTCCAACGCAAAGCAATAAAAATAATAATTAAACCTTGTTGGATAGTTCTGATGGGTGGAATAAAAAGTGGAACGACGATAAAATACGAATATAAATTTAGTATATTACATATAATAGTTTAACCCTAATCGGACCACCTATAATATGCCCAAATTCTACCGGTTTCATTTCGATACTGTCTGAACACAACGGTTAGATTTTACTGCTTCACTTTATATTCTACTGAATGACAATAGGGTGTACTATCAATATGAACTGATTGCATCCACTCATTGTTTATCTGGCAGAATAGCAAGACATATCTTCAAAGCACTCATTTTTGTCTGGGGTCCGCACGGATCCCAGGTGGACGGATCAGGATTAAGAAAAGAAATTTATACTGGTCCAGATGCGAGAGTAAATGTAGTTAACAAAGATCGGATCGGTTCGTGTTTTTCTGAAACCGAACCGATCAATTTTTTTATATGTAATTAAAGTTAGAATAAAACGAAAACCTCTTTGACTTTATTATTCAAACACTTCTCACTTTAGTTCTTTATTTACCAAAAGTGTCGGATGACTGTTTGTTTATGCATTTCTTGCCAGTAAATATTTATATTTTTGATAGGAATTTTTAAAAACAATATCATTCACAGTAATATTAGTAATGCTGCCGAAATGATTATTTGTAAACCCCTACTTAGCTTTCTAGTTTTGATACCCTTTTGCGCACAGCGCAGAAAGCTACTTGAGAGAAAATCAAAGACTATTAGTGTAGGCTCTGACTTTGTCACAACTTTTGACCGTACTACAATATTGGACTGCTTATGATCTGCACTATCGGACGAAAAAAATCGGACAAAATGAGAAATGATCACAGAAATAACATTCTTCTGATCCTGGTTGACAAAATTTTGGAAAAAAACATGCAAACGATCTCGGTTACGAAAATTTAAAATAAATTCTTTATAACCACCTATATTTTTAATACTGAAATGTCTCGCAGAAATTGGTTAGTAATTTGTACAATTGTTACTAATGATAATATCTCATCATTCATTAAAAGTCATAATGTTTGTACATTGTGTACGGAGTCGTTCAAAAATTATTTATCAATTACATACAAATGTTCTGAATACAGGAAATATCCAACCTGTGATTATCAGTTGAAAATAAAACAATATTGAAATAGTAATTATAAAGCATTTTATTCCTCATCACATGATCATGAACAACGTGTGATACAAATCGTCTCTCTTCTCCTATACGATATAATGTTCGTGTTATGACTGACAATGACTGAATATTCCAGTATTTCTCTACCTATTTTCATTTTTTTTGATTAAATAATTGAAACTGAACATTTACTGGAAAACTAGTATAAATTAGATGAAGAATAAAGATAGTTTATGCATTCAGAAGTATTGTGAGTTCTAAAGCATGTTTATTTTAGTATAAGCTTGATTAGATTTTTTTCCGTGATCTAATCAATGATTTCGCCATAAAAAAATTTATTTATCGTTACCAAGATCTTTTATTTGATTTTTATTAAAAATTTGTCGACCAGGATCGAAAGTATGTTATTTCCGTGATGTTTTAAATTCACGTCCAAAAAAATCAATCAGCAAAACAGCTCACTTTCTACATTCTATCCATTATAGAGTCCATGAAAACAGTTTTTTCAGTCCATGGACTCTAAAAAAAGTAATTCAGTCCAGCTCACAATACAAAAACATGTTTTTTATTGATTAATGAGTGGACCAGAATAAATGGCACATTTCTATTCTTTGTTGTTGAGACACTTCCCAGTGGTGCAAAGAGTTGGCTCTAGGCTCAATCGATAGAGTATTGAATTCTCTACGAAACCTGCTATTTGGTTCTTTGAGAGTAGTTTTTTTGTTTGAGTACCATTCAAAATATTGTAGAGTGCTGAGTTGTCGAACTGCGACACACTGAAGTCGTTTTGTTTTTTTAACATTTTTAGCCTGTTGTCTGATGTTCAATAGTTAATTTTTCTACGCAAAAAGGTAGAGACTTTTGCGCTCTATCGATCTCACTCATTTATAAGTTGTAAATTACAACTTCATACAACGTTACCCCTACGTCAGCTGGAACCATAATTAGTTCTCAACCGGTTTTCCAATTTTTTCAAATTAAATTAATTTTTTTTAATTAATGGTTTCGATTGAGAAACTTTGTTTATATATAGAAAGACGCAGAATTAATTCTGTGTGAGATAGTAAGACAAAAAATCCTGAATTCAGAACGTTCTACTGCTTTTATAGTAAAAAAACTAAAGTCTGTTAAAAATAGGTTCAAAAGTTAGCTTAAGAGTTATCAGTTAATTGCACAGAGATGTTTTCCTAGAAGATTTAACTGCAAAATTTCAAAAAATATGTGAGAATATGCAGAATTTTCCGGTGAATCTTCTGATGTTTCCGAAATTCTTATGGAATCTCTTTTTGGATCAAAGTAAACGTTTTTCTATTTTCAGTGTGTCGCAGTTCGACAACTCAGCATCCTACAATATTTTGCATTACAATATTTTGAATGATGCTCAAACAAAAAAATGCTCTCAGAGATTCAAATAGCAGGTTTTGTAGAGAATTCAATACTCTATCGATTGAGCTTAGAACCAACTATTTGCACCACTAGGAAGTGTCTCAAAAACAAAGAATAAAAATGCGCCATTTATCCTGGCCTACTCGTTATTCTTCGATTCAAGTGAATCCAAAACTTTTTTTCGAGTCCAGACCAGTCCGTGGTCGTGAAAGTTTGAGTCTGCGAGAATGCAAGCCCAGTTGAGAATGCGAGCCCATGAGCTCAAAAATGTTTCAGCGCAGTCCAGTCGATGCGGAGATCTGATAGAATCGCAATAACTTATTTAAATAAAAAGAGAATTGTGCAAAAGTCTCCATGTAACGTCTTTGTATACGTACGATACTTATTCTTGCACATGCTTTTGTCTATGGTACCTTCCTTTGATTAGTTATGCTTCAAACAATAATTTTTATTCTACTTTCTAGTTCGAAATATAAACATCACAAATCTAACTTTTATAGAGCTATTGTTTTAAGCTACTTTTAGAATGGACAGAAACGATGAGCTTATTGCATGAGCTAGCTAGTCTGGGCTATATCATAGATAGCTGAACCATTTTTCTGCGAGTGAACGCTTAAGAGTTTGAAGGCCCTGGTCTATCCATGAGCCACGCCAAAAAATACCCTACATAGGTGCAAGTAAGGCTTAAACCTCGAGGTTTTCACTACTAAAGAATAAAAAAATATTCGTTTTGAAAAAACATATAACCAGCAGAGATGCAATCGATTCATGTTTTTCTGCAACCGAACCGAAACTTTCTCAAACCGAATCGGTCCTACCTCTGGTAGTTAAACAAGCTCCAATACATGCGGATTGAGCAGCTGTACACGCAGCACTCACATCAGGCCAAGCAATACCAGCTGTTAGAGGCGGCGGAATGACTTTGAAACTATGGGTCCTCAAGGAGAAGAACGCAAAGAAAAAATAAGTTTCTGCTAGAAAATTTTCAAAATCTGTGAGTGCCAAGGCACCCACGGCCCCCACTTGTGACTGTGAGTTTCAATGAAAGTGAAAATGAAAATCCTAATTATGGTGAATTCCTTCCTTTGTTTCTACAACGAAGAAAACGACTTCTCACCACGTTCGGATTAGTCCAAATAACATCAGCCATTTCTTTTTTCTTTGAACCCTGATCGAAATTAGTAATATTCTTAGATTGCATGAAAATTTTAATTTCTAACTATTTTCTAGCAAAACCCAAATTCCAGTTTTAGATTCAAGTTTTGTCTACTCACAAGCAAAATTGGAGTACTGGCCATACAAAGTTAAAATCTGCTCAGACGAAACTTAAATGGGATTTAGCCTTCAGGCAAAACTTCAATTTGAGGTTTGACTACACTGTAATCTTGAATTAATTTCCAGTTTATAGAAAATCGACCGAAAGATCGCCTGCGATTTTCTAGTTTATAGAAAATCAAAAAGAAATTTCTACTTGTGTTACAGGCACATTAGTATGGAAATTTATCTACTTTGCTTCTATCCTCTGTAAAGCGAGTTATAGTAATAAAGGAAAGAGAAGTAGAAATCGTGTCATCTAGAAACTCCCAAGTAAAATTGCTAAACTTGTTCTTTTGTACAAATCCGCCAGCACTGAAAATTTTTTCTAGATCCGCCACTGGCCTATGGTAACAACGTACACTGCCTTTATTTTTTCTTTTACACCATAGTCACTTGATGATGATAATTTATTGCGAAAGATGATAAAAAAACAACAGATCACCATCATCGAGTGACTATGGTGTAAAAGAAAAAGTCAGTCACTTGTTCTCATTGATTATTGATTATTCTCTTCAATTAATTCATGGTTTGTAGCGTACTGACCTCTCGCATGAAGTTTATGCCAGTTGAGAAAAGTTACCTACTTTTTACTAACATTGTTGCTGAGTTATTTTGCGTCGGAAAATAAAAGTTTTTGATATAATATCAAAACTGACCCAAATACAGTCACACAGGACGGAAAAAAACATTCGACTTCTATTGAGACACCATCTATCATCTTTAGAGTAATGCGTTACTCCTTGTAATTATAATCAACGAAAGTGCAATGAGCCATATTCACATCCTGATGAGGTCGCTACATATAGATACTGTTTTCTTGCGTTCTGTCTATACAATACATGCAATCATACGGCCGGCTTTCAAGCCGTTTGACGGCCAACACATAGCGCCGTCACCAGGATGTGAATATGGCTCATTTTCAACGAATACGAATATTCCGTTTTTTTCAAATTCTGACGGCGTCCATTTTTGCAGCTGTTATTGATAGGTAACTTCTAACAACGAGCAGCGTAGTTTAACAACTGTAAATTATGTGAGACAGTTCAATTAATCAATCATTGTACAAAATAAAATAAAGTAAAATGAAAACACGAAAAAAATAAATGGAAATCAACAACATGTAAGAAGCTTTGAAAAAATGGAGTCTATATTGTATTTTAGTAGAAAATATTTTAGAAAAAGATGAAAGTTTTTATATATTTATTACGTTTTTTTAGATATCGTCATTCTAATTCATTGATGTATCCCTGGTATTTTGACAAAAAAGAACTGAAGAATACTCCATCAACTCGTGATGGAATTGATGCTGAAACAGAAAGACGCTATCGACATGAAGGAGCACGATTTATTCTTGATCTTGGTTTTAAACTGAGTCTGTAAGTAATACATCTATGAATATACTTTTTATTGTATATCTACTAAGTTTCACTTGCAAATTGAGTTGCGATAAAAAAGTTGTTTACAGATATCACACTAAAGTGACGGATACTCTAGTAGCGTAGGTTATCTGATTCTTGTCTTTAGGAAACAAATTATTTCTTAACTGTGATAATACAAAGTTATTGCTTTTTATTTTAGTCGTCCAGAAACAATGGGTACTGGAGCCGTTTTTTTTCATCGATTTTATATGTTTCATTCATTTCCACAATTTCCACGTTTCGTATGTATTCGATACTGTTAGTATTCATTCGACCGATTTATTTATTTTTTATTTTAGGCAATGGCCACATGCTGTTTATTTTTATCTGGAAAAGTAGAAGAAACACCAAAAAAAATTCGTGATATAATGAAAACGGCTCGACAGATATTAGAAGGTGCTCGTGAACGATACATACCAACATTAGGAGATGAAAAGGGTGATCTTATATTACAGTATGAACGTGTATTATTGCCAACAGTTAAATTTGATTTTTGTATTCAAAATCCATACACATATTTAAGACAATATGCCAAAACGATTAAAGGTATAGTGAATGATTAGTATTCATTACTGATAAAATCTCTGTAAGAAAAATATGGTGTATAATTTTGAGGAATAAAGCTAAGCGAATTTTGTTTTTGAAATGTATTATACTTTAAAAAATTAGGTCTTCAGTATTGTATAAATTACTACAGTGGATTATTTAGTGTCGTTCGAGAGTCTCTCTTGATAATCGTTTTTCATTTTCCATTTTAAGAAAGTTTTGTCTATATAAGAAAAATTGTCGCAAATTTGTCTCGTATTTCAGCACATTTCCTTCAAACATCGTTAGTGAATTAAAAAACATTTTAAATTCATGAATTTTCTAATAAAGACATTATTGTCTTTATTTAGGAGATAAAGAACAAATACGTCAGATGTTTCAAATGGCATGGACATTTGTAAACGACAGGTATAATCTCTCACAAAGAACTAGATCTTATTTGTAGTTTTGAATGTCCTCTACTTTAGTTATTGTACAACATTGTGTTTACAATGGGAACCAGGTATGGAAATTTTTAATACGAATTAATTTATTTGTTGATATATTTCATTTCTTCATTAGAAATAATTGCTATCGCTGTCATGTATTTGGCATGTAAATTATCAAAGTTTGAAATAACAGATTGGACAACTAAAAAAGAAAACACTAAGCAAAAATGGTGGGAACAATTTGTTGACGGTCTGACAAAAGATATTATCGAAGGCAAATATTTCCTTTATTGCTTGATAAATTTTATCCACATTTTCTGCTTATTTTAGATATCTGTCATCAACATTTAGATTTATATTCGAAAAATAATTCGTCAGCATTTGCTTCAATGGAAATTAGTGGAAGTAATTCTCAATTATCGTCAACGAATCCATTGCATCTCTCAAATACAAATACATGGACAACAAATCAAACGAATTCTAATGTCACATCACCTGTTACTGTTGAAACGGGACCGGGCACTCCAGCCAAACGAGTAAGCTCGTTTTTTTATCAACTTTTACATTAATACAGTGAATTTTACAGTTCTACACAAAGTCATTGATCAGAAGTGTCCTTGATTCGTCTTGATTTCAACTTTTATATTTTATTTTTTAGTCTATTCGATCTGATGATGACTCATATAGAAATGGTCGATTACATACGTCTGCCGAACAGCCACCATCCCTGACAACAACAACTACTACAGACGGACGCTCCTCTTTCAAAAACGAGCATGATTTAACTAGTATACATATTAAACAGCCACCAGTATTGCCTTTGATTAATAATCAAGATGATCCATCGAGACGTTCTTTAACAGTGCCATCTTTGATGATGAATCCAATGTCTACACAACAACAAAATACACAGCAAAATCAAGTTTCTCCAAATATTTGGATGAATATGCGACCTCCACCCTCGTTATTGTCAATGCAAAATCCGTTTATGTCCACTCATTTTCCTCCGTTTCCACCACCACTACCCTTGCCACCTGTTCCCAGTTTTGATACGCCGAAATATCATCAGTCAAAATGATGTTAGTTTTAATATCTAGTAAATTGTTTTGTTTTCTCTTTTCATGTAAGAGAAATGTTATTTCTAATGTTGTTATTTTCTTTCTGCCTTTTTATTATTCTTCAAAGTAAGTAGTTATTTAACTATAGAACTTGTAGGGTTTTCTTCCCGCTTCTTTCTATGTAATATATCTTATATTTCTGTCTGTTTACTAATGTTTTGGATCCTAAAACTGAACGAAAATGTAGTTTAAAGCGTTTTTCAGTGTCATCAGAATTAAAGGAAACAAAAGGTATCTTCAATCGCGAAACTTCAACCATGTAACTAAAGCTTTTTCTTCCAGTGACTGCGCTTATTTCTTGATTTTTTTGTTCTATAAAATCACTTATTTTTGAGCAACGGAGTCTAAATGAATCTTATGTTGATTTGTTCTCAAAGACACCTGTTAAAGTATTTGTTAGCACATTCGATTTTCTTTGTTTCTGTAATTTTTAAATTAGTTGATGAAAAAAGCAAAATGATTGAGCAATTTTGATTGATCTCAAAATTGTGTGTAAAAAGAAAAAATGTTTAACTGGAATGGTTTATCTTTCGACCTGATCGATCAGTGCTTAGGCGTCGCTATCTTATAATAATTTATCATCACGAAAATGTTTGTATTATATATTTAAAATCTTAGTAACATTTTAAAAAGAACACTGGGTTAATAAAAAGAAGATGAACTCAAATTTGCAGGATGAAGTAATCAGAAAGATTCAAAAAAGAAAATGTGCATGAATTACATTATCCTTTCGTTTGAACATTATCCTTCAGTCTAATATACGTCATTCGCAGCCAATCATTTTTACAGGAAGAAAGCAGAATAAGTATTTAGCCAATGAAAGTCGACCTTCAATTTTATGTTATCCGGCAATTGCTACTTCTTATTTTGTAAATTACTCTTTCAACTTTGATAAATGTATTATGTTGGTAAACTTATGTTCATTGCGTGGAAATTACAAATATTAATTATTTCTCATTTTATGCCTTCAAACCGTTCTTCAACAAGTTACTAATAGTAGTTAATGGAATACTGTTATATATATCATAGTAAAATCCTCTCTCTCTCTCGGTTAGAAGCATGCAATTATATATTTGAAAACTTAATTAAATGACTAGTTTTCTTTTTATTTTGGTTAATTATATATATATTTTAATTTTTATTAAAAATGATTTTTATACGAATTCGCATGTGTTTCTAACAAAATTTTAAGTACAAAAACCTACAGTTTTCCGTTGGGTTTCTGTTCGATTGTTCTGTGTTGATACATGATTAACAAAACAAAATGAAAACCATACCATCATATACATTCTATCAACAGACACAAGGGAAACAGAAAGAGCTACACAAAATGTGAAACGAAATTCGATAAGAAACATGTCTATCTCGATGTAATTTGTTTGTAACTTCTCAATAACTCACAAGAAAAATAATAACATTAACAAAGAATTCGAAACAATTGTAGAAATATACTGCATCTCTTTGTTACTTTTGCCATTCGTTATCGGACATATTGAACTATGCTGATATATTATTTTTATCATTTCATACAGATAGTAATTGATGACATTATTACTGTTTATAAGGAAAGTTTTATTAGTTGACGTTTAAATTAAATGATATTCTATTGCATTTGAAGGTGCATGCATCGGGTACACTCTAAAAAAAACGTGTCCTTCGTGTTTGTTTTAAAGATCTCATTTAAGTTCTTTGAAATATGAAGAACTTAATTTTCATTTTTCAATAAAAAATGAGTTTTTCCTTCATTTCAGTTTTTCGGCTCATTTTAGTTTTTCAGGATTTGGAAAACACAATATTTCTTTTGGATTCTCTGAAGATCTGGAAGTTGAAAAAGGAAAAGAAAATCACATATTTCAATCACCACTTTTGTTTTACGATTCCTAATATATAAAGAACATGATCTTTTCTTACAGAAACTTATTAACTTATTCTCAAAACGTTCTATTTATGTACAACAATCTGCATACTTCGAGAACATGTTTGTTCTTGACAAAAGAGTTTTAAAATTCGACTCGAACCCAACGAGTCGAGTACCTACGATGTTTGGAACCTCATTCGACCCGGATCGAATGAGGTTCCAAATGACGATCGAGTTAGGATGTAGATTACATGGTTTTCTCTACTTGTGCAGATTTCCAATTGGCAATATTTATACTGAATAAAAGAATAATTCTACATATGATCACAGATATCGTATTGATTAAAAATAAATTCGACTGGTGAAAAGAGGAATTAAAAGCCCGATTTTTGAAAAAATCAAAGAACAGAAATGTGTTTTTCGACCTAATGTTTTCCGGAAAATAAATGTCCCAGATAGGGATCTAAAAAAATGAAAAAGTCAGTTTTGCAGATTTTCAGAAAACTCACGTCAGATCCCTGTTTAGGACAAATGAAAAACACACTTTCAGTTTCTGAAGAAGTCCTCTTTTTAAGAGTGCAGAAACGAAATTTATAATACAGTGATAAATCAGCCTAATCCATACGTAGCACAGTGGGCATTTCCGGCTAGAGCAGGCGAACATGAGCTTCAACTTACACACATATGCTAAAAGTCGCTTTCTTACAGGTTTTCGAATGTGCTCTTTCTTGTGGTATAGGAAAAATAGCCAAAATTCAGTTGTTGAAGGGATTTCTAGAGACCTGAAAAACCTATAGAAAACAACTTCAAAAATTTTTCAATGTCGTCATTAGATTCAGCATAGCTGGAAACCTCTACAAAACTAGTTTTCAGAATTTTCTGTCGCTTGAAATTGCTTTAAAAAATAACATCACACAAAATCAAAGAAAAACCTTAGAAAAACGCTGCTTCGAAAACAAACTGAGCAAATTTTAACGAAAAATAGTTGGAAGACGCATCAATAGATGCAGTTTTTCACGCTGATCCCGAATATGTATATATTTTTCGAAAAAAATTGTATTTGAAGTGAAAAAATTGGTTTTTACCTCAGAAGCCTGGTTTTTTGAAAAACCAGTATCTCAGTCCAGGAAAATATATGCACTTTTGCCCATTCACCATAGATGCACGGCCTCGCGAGGAACATTTTGGTATAAAAATATGTTAGTTCAGACCTGCGCTAAGATGCGCGTTCTCAAAATACCGGAGAGAGCCTTTACAGCCTAGACCGTTTTCGAAAGAATCCATTCCAAAACTCTTAAGTTTCACTCGAAAAACAAAATTTTTTTAATTTCGTATTCGTCTGACTGTGTACCGAATATGATCTCGGTTTTATTCTAATTTACTATCCTTCAATAAAAATCGAAATTTTTGCGAAAAAATAGCGCATTTACATGGTGTTTTTGCATTTCAAATCTTTTATAGAAGGAAAAGTCGTAGAATAAAAATTCTTTCGCCATTAAATCGGTTGTCACTCGAAGTATGTGAAACACTATTTAAATTACGAAAAACTAAACTCACTGTTTTTTTCTAAATTTCCACCTGAATGCCCACTGTGCGTAGATTCTCAGTATAGCATCCATCCATTATCAAGAAACACCCTACACTGTATAGTCGATTAAAAATTCAAAGAGGCTCTCTCTGTAGACTAACTGATGACGAAAAAGAGATGCATCAATAACAGCACCCGTATCAGGAGGGAAGAGAGTGTTGCAGATGTTGTTTTTCAGATGTTGTTTTTCAGACTAATTGCGGCTAAGAATTTTAATAAAAGTGAAAATCAACAAAATTCTATATATCATACTTTGTTCTTCTTCTTCCTCCTGTCTTTGTCATACGTATAAACTTTTAGTCTCCTCTCATAGTGTGTGTCTATACGGAAATGTAAGAAAGACGAGAAAAAATATACAGTCAACTGTACCATAATTTGAAATTATTTTCTATTCTATAGAAAATCGATCTCTTAAATCACCGAGGACTTTCTAACTTTTATAAAATCCTCAGCGATTTTCTGACATTTTAAGAAATGTTGATTTTCTACTTTATAGAAAATCCACTCAATTTTCTATGAATTGACTTTTCTCATTTGTCAGAAAATCGATAAGAAATTTCTAGAAAGTTAGAAAATCAATAGATTTTCTATAAATAACTCCCAAGATTCTTGAAATTCGACAGTGATTTTCTAAATAGTTGAAAAATCGAATTCGATTTTCTAAGAAGTTCAATCGGTCATTTTTTATTTGATTCTATTAACTCAAAGACATGATTCATATCAATTTACATTTATTTTCTTTATTTTTTAAATAAAATGACAGTCATTTAGCACATGATCGTATTGATGTCGAATTTTTTCTTTTTTCCATTATTAAAAGATCCAGATTGTCATCTAACTAGTTCATTATTTCGTTCAACAGTTGATTGTCAAAAACATTATTATACTTTATTATATACCATTATTTATTTAAAGAGGATTAAACGTTCATCTATGATTTCTCCTATCATGTTGTCAACAACAACAAATGTAACTAACATTATAATAAAAACAGCAACATTAAAAAAAAAATTCAGATTCAAAAACAATCTATTCTTGAGATTTAATTGTTCGATTTCTTAGAGCTTTTATTTTTGTTTATACAAATATTAGAGATTTTTTTATTTTCTTATTTTTCTAGTTTTTTATCCTTATTGAGTAGATTATCTAGGTTCATACAGTTTTTTTTATTCTTCTGAACTGCGAATGTAAAAGTTAAATATTTAAAAGATGCACAATAAAGACTAAAATAATACTTACTCCATTTAACTTCGAAGTTCAGTGGCTTTAAATAAAGGTGAAAAAGTTTATCTTCAGGCATTTTGTAAGTCTCTGATTATCAACATTCTTATTCAAATTGTTCTTCCTCAACATCTAGAAAATCTTCAGTGATTTTTAGAAAGTAGAAAATAATCCAATCGATTTTCGAAAAGTTACAAAATCGAGCTGATTTTTCTATAAATATAGTCCAACAATCTAGAACATCGATGTCGATTTTCCACATTCTTGAAAATTCGATTTTCTATAATGTGACA